TTTTTTGGATCAGAGTCTCACTGTCATCCAGGCTGGAGTTCAGTGGCATGCTCATGTCCACTGCAGACTCGAACTGCTGGACTCAGGTGATCCTACTGCCTCAGCCTTCCAAGTAGCTGGAACTTCAGGCATGTGCCACCATGCCCAGTTCATTTTTCTTGGTTTATTATAGAGATGAGGTCTTGCAAGGAGGGGTTTTCTGCGGTAGAGACTGAGGGGCTGTATTGAGCTGCCAGCTACACTCACAGAGGCAGCCCCGCACCAGAGTATCCTCCACCTGCCTGGATAGAGTTGTCATTCATTTTGAAAATTTTCTCTGCCTCTTTATTTTCAGAATTGTTTCACCCACAAATTGCCGTACATGAAGTTAAAGAAAATGTCATAAGGGTTCTCTCTGGGACTCTTTGGCGTAATGGGTAGAAAACATATCAGGTATAGAATGTAAGGTAATTAGTTGAGAACACAGAAGCACAGATACACAGAACGTGGGGACCAATTTTTTAACTTTTTCTCTTTTTGAGTCGGAGTCTCACTCTGCCGCCCATGCTGGAGTGCAGTGGCATACTCATGCCACCACAGCCTCAACCGACTGGGTTCGGGTGATCCTTCTGCCTCAACCTTCCAAGTTGCTGGAGCAACAAGCACATGCTACCATGCCTGGCTAATTTTTGTGATTTGCTGTAGAGACAAGGTCTTACCACGTTGCCCAGGCTCGTCTCGAACTCCCAGTCTCAGGCAATCCTCTTGTCTCAGCCTCCCAAAGTGCAGGTATTACAGCTGAGCCACCGCACCCGGCTGGTCACTTTTTTAGCTATTAAAGACAAATTTAATTTTCTTCCCTCATGTTCTCATAGGAGAGATAGGACTTCAAGCTCTGATACAGAGACACCCCATTCCCGGCAAGTAGCTTCAGGGGATCCTTGACTTTCCTACAGTCTATGCCCCATTCACTGAAAGAAGCAAATCTCCTTTCACTCTCTTTTTCTGAGTGGTTATAAGTTTGAATAATATAGTACCAATGTAATCGTAAGCCTTGCGAATTACATAAGTGTTGCATCAATGTAATTGTAAGCTTTGTGATTTATATAACTTTTGAGTAATGCACAATGTCTTAGATCCTTTACTCTACGGCAAGCTTTGTTAATGCTTCTGCCGTGCCCTACTGATACAAGCTATGAGATACCTCTGATACTTGGCACCAGGAAGTCTGGACAGAAAAATGTCACTATCAGAATATTATGCAGCCTTAAAGGACAAACATATGGACTTCGCAGCAACTTGGATGGATTTAGAGTCGATCATACTCAGTGATCTATCACAGAAACAAAGACAGAGTACCATATGTTCTCACTCATAAGCAGATCTTGAACAACATACGACTATGAGAGAGGCATTGGTAGTAGTGGGAAACTGTCAGGGGAGGGGGTTGGGATTGGCAGTGGAGGGAAACTGCTAGGGGAGGGAGGGGCACACCTCATCAGCAAGGGTGCCTGCATAATCAACGTTTGAATACCTAACCCTGAATTGTACCCCACATCTTTATAATAAAAAAAAGAAAAGAAAAATGTCACTATCGATAAATGTGGCTGAAACTCAAGTTCTATAGAATGCTCTGCTGGCCACATGGTTAACATATAGGTACTAACAACTCTGGACTTTAAAAGTGAACTGTAAAAGCCTAGAGGGGAAGCAGAAGCATTTTGAAAGACCTTGAGTCTGGCTCTGCTTCCTGGATTCGAACTCAGAAATAAACTTCTTTCTACCAGTTCCCTGCCCCTTTGATTTCGTGGTATCAATGGGAGCAGCCGAGCATTACTCGGACCATAACAGCTCCACTTCCTAGGAAGGTGAAATACTGAAAAGAAAACTTCTGGTCCCACTGATTCCCTGTTATTCTCTTTTCTCCATGAGTAGCTGAGAGATTACTATGACCGTTGAGCAGCTCAAACATGGTTGTTTAAGCGCTGATGGTGAACAGTGATGGTCATCTAAATAGTCAAAACCCTTGAGCAGATCCCTCTATAGTCTGAGTTGGCAGTAATCCAAATGTTGCTGAGGAGTGCAGACAAAGGTGACTTCATGTGAATGTTGCCCATGGCTGTGATTAGCATGTACAATCATCAGGTCAGTATCTCGAAACCCAGAGATGAGGACCTAACTACCTGCAACCTCATTCTTCCACAAATTGACAATGGCTCCCCACAGTTTTCCTTTAGGTATAAACCACTGACCCCGGTCCAAGGAGCGTCCATGACAGAACTCGCTAGGACCACCAAGCTGGGTACATATAATAGCAACAAATTTGACAACAAAGTCTGACATAATTCACAGAAATATGCATCCCTGCCCTTCACTGGCCTTTTCACAACACAGAATTGTCACCATAAGGTCCAGTTATCCTCTATCTCCTTGGCCACATTGACCTCAGCAGGAAATTTGCATATCAAAACTGCTTCTCACAAACATCCTCTTAGCTGCCAAAACTGAGCACATATTTGTCATCAAAGCAGAGACAGCCCTCTCTCTCTCAAAGCCCTGCCAATTCCTTTGGGCCTCAAGGGTGTGAAAAATTGCCCAGGGATACTTCCCATATATAGGTCCCATGCTTATCTGAGAAGCCTTAACTCTGTCAACAAGCCTTGGAGGAGCCTCTAGCCTGAACCAAAGCACTATGGAGTCCCTGCTCTCAAGTCACAGCACTAAGAGGTAAAGCTTTTCTCTGCTTCACCAGCCTTATTTCTGGGCACTTTCCAGCACTTTCCTTTTTTTTTTTTTTTTTTGAATTGAAATCTCACTCTGTCACCCAGGCTGGGCGCTCCCGGCCACCGCAGCCTTGGCCTGCTGGGCTCAGGTGATCCTTCCGCCTCAGCCTTCCAAGTAGCCAGAACTACAGGCACACGCTACTGTGCCCAGCTAATTTTTTAATTTATTGTAGAGACAAGGTCTCACCATGTTGCCCACGCTGGCCTCGAACCAGTGGGCTCAGGCAATCCTCTCGCCTCGGCCTCCCAAAATACTGGGATTATAGGCTTGAACCACCGCTCCCGGCCTTTTTTATTTTTTAAATAGGAGTCTCACTCTGTCACCCAGGCTAGAGGGCAGTGGCACGCTCCCAGCCACTGCAGCCTCGACTTACTGGGCTCAGGTAATCCTTCCACCTCAGCCTTCCAAGTAGCTGGAAATATAGATGCATGCCATCACATTCGGCTCATTTTTTAATTTATTGTAGAGATGGTGAGGTCTCACCAAGGTTCCCAGGCTAGCCTTGAACCCATGGGCTCAGGCAATCCCCTCACCTCAGCCTCCCAAACTATGGGATTTCCTTAAGGGCCAGTTGCGTGGCAGGCCGCCTTCTAAAGGAGCTGTCCCACTCATGGTTCTGAATCTGATAGACACCTGAGGAGAGTTGAATAAGGGGGCTATTTAAGATGGTGTGGTCTGGGCACCGTTGCTCATTTCTGTAGTAATCACAGCACTTCGGGTGGCCAACACAGGATGATTGCTTGAGCCTGGAGTTCAAAATCAGGCTGAGTAACGTTGTGAGACCTCATCTCCAAACAACAACAACAAAAATCAAAAAATTAGCCTGACATGTTGTTAGCACATGCTTGTCATCCCAGCCATTCAGGAGGCTGAGGCAGGAGGATTACTACCTGAGCCCAGGAGGTCGAGGATGCAGTGAGCCAGAACAAAACAAAACAAAATGATGTGGACAAAGCTTAGGGAAATCAACAGGAGACGGTGCTGGTTGGTGAGGGGTAGGGGAGATTACAACATGGTAACACAACAATCTTAGGCATACAGGAAGCAGTCATCAGGCCCAGGGAGACCTTTAGCTGCCGCCATAGGAGAGCGTCAAGAGGTCCTTGGTGAAAAACTCAACCACTGACAACCCAAAGCAGAGCACAGTGGGAGTTTGAGAATTAATTCCATGACCTTTACCTCCTCCTGCACTCTAATTTCTTTAATTTTAAAAACTTTTTCTTTCTTTTCTTTTTTTTCTAAGTCAGGGTCTCACTCTGTTATCAGGCTGGAGTGCAGTGGCACAATCACAGATCACTGTAGCCTCCACCTCCTGGGCTCAGGCGATCCTTTCATCTCAACCTCCTGAGTAGATGGGACTACAGATGTGTATCACCACGTCTGTCTATCTTTTTTGATTTTTTTTTTTTTTTTTTTTTTTGTAGAGGTCAGGTCTTGCTATATTGCTCAGGCTGATCTCGAACCCCTGGACTCAAGCAATTCTCCTGCCTCAGTCGCCCAGAGTGCTTGGATAACAGGTGAGAGCCATCATGCCTGGCCTGCACTCTAAGTTTTGACTGGTGCTTCCAAGGGGACCAAAAAAATAAAAATAAAAGAAAGCCAGTTAATAAAGTCCATAGAGTCAACTTCCTGAGCACAGAAAATAATGAAAGTGAAGGAAACAGACCCAAAGGAATAAGAAGAGAATATATGGACAGGAAAAGTTCTCCCCGCTGACTTACTACAGAGCCTGCTTAGTAAAGAAAGTCAGCGAATAAGAGGAGCAGTGCTTTCTTTTTTTCTGTCTTTGAGTCAGAGTCTCACTCGGTCACGCAGGCTGGAGTGTAGCGGTATGCTCAACCTGCAGCAATCCTTTTACCTCAGCTTTCCAAGTAGCTGGAACCGCAGGTGCACACCACCACTCCCGGCTAATTTTTATCATTTATTGTAGAAACGAGGTCTCACCAAATTGCCCACGCTGGTCTCAAACCCCTGGGCTCAGGCAATCCTCTCACCTCAGCCTCCTGAAGTGCTGGGATTATAGGCCGTGAGCCACGTGCCCAGCTTGCAGCAGTGCTCTTAAGGGAACAGATGTAAAAGTGATCTTATTTCCAAAGGAGATGTCATTTGGTAGCACTTTATAATGGAGGGACGGTTATCCAAGGAACACATATAGATGGTTCACCAGAGAACAGAGGCCAGAGCCCAGGGGAGAAAAAGTCAAGACAAAAGCATTTAGAGCCTTTCAGGCATCCAGGTGGGAAAGACAAGCTATTTTGATTTGATACTCTGTTAAATTCAGGTGGGAATAAGAAGATATTTCCAAAAGTGGTCATTTCTCTGCTCTTTTAAGTGCTAAGTCAAATTTTGCAATTGCTGTGAAACTATGAAACCGTGATTACTATAAAATTTTCTTTTCCCTAAATCAACGTTTCTCAAAGTATGGTCTCCTGACAAGCAGTATCAGCATTACCCGAAAGCTTATTAGAAATACAAATTCTCAAGCCCTACCCTTATCTTGTTGATTCAAAAATTTCGGGGTGGAGACCCCTCACTTATCTGTATGTTATATATGTCTTCCAGTTGATCATGATACACGCTAACATTTGAAAAACCAATATACCATGTATTTGAAAATAAGAAAGTGTATCAGCTGGGCTCGGTGGTTCAGCCTGTAATCCCAGCACTTTGGGAGGTTGAGGTGAGTGGATTGCCTGAGCCCATGGGTTCGAGACCCACCCGGGGAACTCGGCAAGACCTCATCTCTACAGTAAAGCAAAAAAATTTAGCCGGGCGTGGTAGCGTGTGCCTGTAGTTCCAGCTATTTGGAAGGCTGAGGCGGAAGGATTGCCGGACCCCAGCAGGTCGAAGCTGCTGTGGCCAGGAACGGCCACTGCACTCCAATCTGGGTGACGGAGTGAGATGCCAACTCAAAACAAACAAACAAAAAAAAGAAAATGTATCATCGTTGTGATATATTTGTTCCAGAAAATATATATTCCCTTTCTTTTTCCTGATTTTGTTAGAACTGGTAACCTGCTAATATTTTCTGTCCCGAAACACACTGGCCTGCCAGAGTTCTCTCATCTGATATTGCAACTCAGTGGGAGAGGAAGGGCTTACAGCAAAAGAGCTCCCTCCACCAGGATCCCTTCTTCAGCAAACATTTATACCTGTCTCAAGAAGAAATCACTTGTGAGAGATTGCCGTGAAATTCACCAAGAGAATCCTGAAGGTCCTCTTTCTTTTTTTTGGTTGGAGTCTAACTCTGTCGTCCAGACTGGAGTGCAGTGGCGTGTTCACAGCCACCACATCCTCAACCTGCCGGGCTCAGGCGATCCCTCCACGTCAGCCTTCCAAGTAGCTGGAAGTACAGGCATGCACCACCACGCCCAGCTAATTCTTTTTATTTATTGTAGATATGAGGTCTTGCCAAGTTACCCAGGATAGTCTCCCCTGACTCAGACAATCAGCTCACCTCAGCCTCCCCAAGGGCTGGGATTACAGACTTGAGCCCCTGCACCCGGCATAATCCCTCTTTCATATAATGGGCTGGAGGTCATAAAATGATGTCAACTATGTCTGCATCTGTGGAGTTTACAGAGAGCAAGACTTCCTTCTCCCCAGGCCGGGTAGGAAGGCTACCTGAGAGGTTTTCCAATGCTTATGCTTATGTTTCTAAAACTCCCTGACCCGAGGTGGCCTAAGAGAGCTCTGAAATATCCCAGACTGAATAAAGCCCACCTCACAACACTCCTGATCCCAGTGGTACAGGGACAGAGAAGCAGACTGAATTCCTCCTTCCCTTCACGCTCACTGATCAAGAGAGCTGAAGAGGACAAAATCCAAAGAAATGTCAGACAACCTATGGGGACAAGTCCCCATCCACCCATGCAGAGAAGGATTAGGTCATCACACACTCATGCACATACCCATCATTTGACAATAACGTGAAAACTACTACTAACAATACTTTCTGGGTGCTCACGAGGTAAAAGGAGAGCGCTAGGCTCTCAGCATTCCTATTTTAGAGTGTGAGAACACCTCTATGATGACATTCTACCCCATAGTCTTCCGAAGACCCAAGCCAAGAGGATCCATGTTGATGAACAACTACCTACTATGAAAGAACGATAACTCCTCTGGCAGGTTGGCAAGTTGTGCACTTGAGGTTCTACAATCTCAGTGAGAGCTGAAATCTAGAATATTTTTCACACATCAGGGTGCAAGGCACCCTGTCATAATGAGATCACTCAGAAAAAGGAGAAGTCTCTTTCTACTTCTCACAAGTGTATTGAGTAGGCCAGCAGCTGAGGAGTCTGAGACTGGGGTGCATATTTAGAAAACCTGGAATGGCTCATCCCCAAGCATTCAAACTGGCTCTCTAGAGTAATGCCAGTCAGTCTGGATAATTTCCCCTGGGCAGTGTCTGTCCTCATCCTACCATGAGCTGCAGTGGGCACAAGTGGACATTGGGGTCAAAAGCTTTTCCTGATTCTGTCTTCCTTAGGGGTGGTGACTATTTTCAGTGAGCATTCTTAGGTGCAATATTGATTTACTCACTCCTAATCTCAATTTCCCCAACACAGATTTTGCAGTGTCGAGGGTGGGGCTGAAATTACTTGACATTAGCAGAGATCAGTTTCTTTAAAAATGCGTATTCTGTCGAGATAGGGTCTTGCTATGTTGCCCAGGCTGCTCTGGAACTTCTGGCCTCAAGCGATGCTCTCACCTCAGCCTCCCAAAATTCTGGGATTATAAGAATGAGCCACTGCAGTCCTGGCCAACCCCCTTGAGTTGACTTTTAGATATCATATAACCAACTTGTCAGAACCATAACCATGAAACGCTTAGCATTTCCTAACTTTTCTTGTCGTGTTGTTGTGTTGTTTTTAGTGTCAACCGGCTGTCTTTCCTCATGACATTACCATAGAACCCAGAAAAGCAATCGATAAGCAGGCAGGGATATTGGGAGGGAGACCACCATGTGCAGTGCTGGCTCTATTTTCAGTAGACTGAATACTCCACCAAAATGGAATCAATTGCTGTCTACTTTTGCAGTGACGAATCTCATGGAAATCTCATTGAAGACGGCCTGGTTCAGTTGAGATGTCACTTCACATGGGGGTTGTTCGTGGAAGCCCTTGAAATGCCTGATTTAGAAAACAGGGTCTGGGAAGAGATTCATTTCCTAGACACCAAATACAATGTGGGAATCCACAACTTACTGGCCTATGTGAAACACTTGAAAGGTCAGAATGAGGAAGCCCTGGAGAGCTTGAAAGAGGCTGAAGACTTAATCCAGAGAGAACACACTGACCAAGCAGATGTGAGAAGTCTGGTGACCCGGGGCAACTTTGCCTGGGTATATTTCCACATGGGCAGGCTGGCAGAAGCCCAGACTTACCTGGACAAGGTGGAGAACACTTGCAAGAAGCTTGCCAATCCTTCCCGCTACAGAATAGAATGTCCGGAAATGGACTGTGAGGAAGGGTGGGCCTTGATGAAATGTGGAAGAAAGAATTATGAACGGGCCAAGGCCTGCTTTGAAAAGGCTCTGGAAGTGGACCCTGGCAACCCTGAATTCAGCACCGGGTATGCAATTACCGTCTATCGCTTGGATAGCTTTCACATATCAGCTGAGAGAAATACTGCAATTTCTCTGCAGCCCCTAGAACGGGCAGTCAGGCTAAATCCAGAAGATGCATATATTAAGGTTCTCCTTGCACTGAAGCTTCAGGATGTCGAACAGGAGGCAGAAGGAGAAAGATACATTGCAGAGGCTCTGGCCAGCAAGTCCTCAAAGGTCTATGTCCTTCGATATGCGTCCAAGTTTTACCGAAGAAAGGGCTCTCTGAATAAAGCTCTTCTGCTCTTAAAAACGGCCTTGCAGGACACACCCACCTCTGCCTTCCTGCATCACCAGATAGGGCTTTGCTACAGGGCACAAATGATCCAAATTAAGGAAGCTACGAACATGCAGCCTCGAGGGCAGGATAGAGAAGATGTGGCCAGATTGGTTCAATCGGCTATATGTGAATTTCAGAAGACTTTAAAACTCAAGCCCACATTTGAGTTGGCTTATGTTGACCTGGCTGAAATGTTGGCAGAAACAGGCGACCACAGACAGGCTGAGGATACTTTTCAGAAAGCGTTATGCATGGAGATCATTGACGATCACATACGCCAAGAGATTCATTACCGCTATGGCCAGTTCCAAGAACATCACAGGAAATCTGAAGATAAAGCAATCACCCATTATTTAAAAGGTCTGAAAATAGAAAAAATGTCCTATGCCAGGGGAAAACTTCTCCATGCTTTAGAGAAATTGGCTAAAAGATGTATTCACCGGAATGTACGTGTTGTGGAAAGTTTCAGCCTCCTTGGGCTCATCCACAAATTGAAAGAGGAAGTGAGTGATGCCCTCCTGTGCTACGAGAGGGCTCTGAGGCTGGCTACTGACCTGAACCCTATGTTTTGAAACAGAGGTCATCATTCCCCACGTAAAGATCTCATGAGTATATATAATGACTGTGAAGTGAAATAAAGCAAACTTAAAGCTAATGGGGCTTTACATTATTTTGAGCCTTGAGAGACATGTGGCTATGTGGCCTGAGTTATGTAACCTGTGGCTGCGACTTCTGCTTTGTTCTATGCATGATTAGGAAAAGCCTCAACACACCAGAGATGAGATCTCCCTCAGATGACCACCCCTTCTCATGGAATGTCAAAACAATCTTTTTTGGAAGGTAACAAGCTGTCACCAATCAAATCGCTAGGGCCTATGCACCAACCTTGTCAGAGAAATGTTGCAACCCTGGGAACTGACTATGAGTGAAACCTTAGCTTTCTCACTTAGGAATGCTGACCCCATATGTTTGGAATCTGTTTCCAGGTGGCCTTCCTCAAGCTTTGTGATCAAATAAACTCTAGACTTACAAATATTTTTCTGAATCTCATTGCTTAAGGTTGACACAATCATCTTTCCCAATTCCTCTTCCACTACACATCTCCGAGCTCCTGCGAGCTCATTGACCAAGGCTGATTAACGCTGTTTGCGGCACTTCTCACCTGCTGGACTAACAAGACTCATTTTCCTTATGACTTTGTCTTTGGAATGAACAGCTTGCATCCTCAGTCTAGCTGGTGAACAAAGGATATTTAAACAGGGAAGATTTCTGTCCCATGTGGCAGGGTTGCTGACCTGCAGCAAAATCTAAGAGCAAAACAAAGGAGCAAAAATGAGAGAGAGAACGAAATAGAGGACTTTGGGAGTTCTAGTTCTCTTTGGGAACAACTTAGGTAAAGTTTCCTTTTCCAAGGCCCTACTGTAGCCAAGACATGCTGGTCAATGAGTCAAGCCTAGAACCTTCTAATAAATTCAGACTTTTTTTCCACTTGTGCGGCTTCTGGCAATCACAAGGGATATACATGATCCAAACACACTGCTGGATGTTTATTCACACCTAAGAAAATTTCCACTCTACTGGGGAGAGATGAGGTAAGGGAAAAACCTATTTGGAATGTGACAGAAATACCTCAAAATAGTTTTTAAGTGCTTGATGAGTGGTTGTGATATAATCTCCCTTTGCTCCCTACCCTAAAACGTTCAGTAAAATGTGCTAAGATCACAAACACTTTGAGTGTAATTTATTGGTGACATTCAAAAACAGATGTGTAGCCGGGCACGGTGGCTAACGCCTATAATCCTAACACTTTGGGAGAAAGAGGCAGGAGAATTACCTGAGCACAGGGATTCAAGGCCAGCCTTGGCAAATTGGCAAAACCTCATCTCTACAATAAATCAAAAACATTAGCCAGGCATGGTGGCGTGTGCCTGCAGTTCCAGCGACTTGGAAGGCTGAGGTGAAAGGATCCCCTGAGGTGGAAGGAACCCTAGCCTGAACAGTGGCATGTTCAAGGCTACAGTGGCCATGAACATGCCACTGCACTCCAGCATGGGTGATAGACTGTGAAAATCCAACTCAAAAAACAAACAAACAAACAAAACACAGATGTGTATTTTTATGTTTGGTACAGATAGAAAAATGCATAACCAACTTCTGTAGCACGAGAAGGCCTGAAGCAGAGGAAGCCATGGGAATTTCAACGTTACCAAGAGTCATTTTCTTTTCTCTTCATGTTAAAAACTCCTGTTTTGTTTTTGTTTTTGTTTTTGTTTTTGTTTTCTGAGTTGGAGTCTCACTGTGTCGCCCAGAACGGAGGGCAGTAGCACGCTCACGGCCACCGCAGCCTCAACCTGCTGGTCTCAGGCGATCCAACCACCTCAGCCTTCCAAGTAGCAGGAATTACAGGCATGCACTACCGTCACACCTGGTTTCTTTTTTGATCTATTGTAGACATGAGGTCTTGCCAAGTTGCCCAGGCTGGTCTCGAACATGTGTGCTCAGGCAATCCCCTCGCCTTGGCCTCCCAAAGTGCTGGGATTATAGGTGAGAGGATTGCCTGAGCCCACATGTGAGCTGGGTGAGCCACCACGCCTGGTCAAAAACTAGTGTTTTATTATTAAAATACATTAAGTTCACACATAGTCTAAACAATTGCATTTCAGGTAGGAAATCAAAAGTGTTTGTTTTTTTACTGTTTATGGGCAGGGTCTAGGCTGAAGTACAGTGGTCATTCACAGGTGCTATAGCACACTTAAGCCTTGGAACTTCTGGCAATCCTCCTACCTACAGAAACACACCACCACACCCAGATTTTTACCAAGAACTTTAAAAAATATGGGGGAGGTATTTGTTTCTGCAGGCCATCGAATTAGAAGGTTCATTTATGTTACCTTGATCCCTAAGATCTGAGACTAGCCAATGACAGGGAGTTAAGAAGGTGGCAAAAGGGTGGAGAGTGTCATTCAAATGACACCTGGGAAGACACAAGTAACACTCTTTTCAACTTTGTTGTTACTAAACAAAGAACAGAGTTATCAGATTTCACCAGAGAACACTATTAACTTTTTCTCATTCCTGCTCACCTGACCTCTCTTTGACTCTTTACCTGTGACTGTCACAGAGCCACTTGTGAGGAAAGATTTCCCTCTATCCATAAAGTAAATCTAAATGAGAAATCTCAGGATGTATCTCTATGGGTTAAAAAAAAAAAAGTTGTTCTTCAACCACAACAATGTTCTTCCAACTGGATAATTCTAAGGCTTTGGTGTGACTCAGTTCTGTAGTTGTTGGCTATTCCTAAACTGATAGTTATCACTACTTAGCCAATAGCTGGTCTTCACAAAAAAAGTAATGGAGCATGACAGTCCTCTTGGCTGAATATATCCCCAATATAATAGAGCGACTCGGGAAACTGGTAAGTTGCCAGGAAATTAGGTTTTATTACACCACATCCACTCATCATTAATTCCCACCACTCCGGGTACTGAAATCAAAACCCATTTCCCTAGCAACTGAGACTACTTAATAGAGTTTATGA